GGGGCCAGGACCGCCCTCCAGAACCCACAGAGAAGCCTCTCCAGCCTTGGAAACGCTGAGAAGATCCAGTTCGGTTTGTTACAGTAGCAAGGGTGGTTCGCGATAGCAGCACCGGATAACTAAAACAGAAACAACCACCTCAAGGTCATCGAGTCAATGCTGGCTCCTAGTGACCCCCTGTGGGTCTCTGAGACCATAACTGTTCATGGGAGTCCAATGCCCAGTCTGTCTCCTGCGGAGCGGCTGGTGGCTTTGAACTGCTGACCGTGTAGATCACAGCCCAGTGTGTAACCACCACCAGGCCAGGCCACCAGGCCTCCAGATAAGCACTTTTCTATATTTTCCCCAAGATTGGATTTTGCACTCTGAATGTTCATCGCTGTGCATTTTCCATCACAAGGTCAGCAGTTTGGAGCCACCAGCCACGCCACAGTCCCCTGCAGAGTGACAGCCTCAGAAACCCAGGGGCAGTTCTACCCTGCCCCGTGGGTTGCCACAAGCCAGAATTGACCCCACGGCGGTGAGTTTGGGTTTGGAGTTAAGTTTTCCACTGGATGAATTTGCCCAAACCGAATTGCTTCTACTTTTGATGGACATCACAGTTGTTTCCAGCTCTGAGCATTCTTGCGCATGCGTCCAGCTGTGTGGGAGGGACACTTTCCCTGAGGCTAGCGTGGGAGAGCTTAGGGCTGTGTCAGATAGTATGCACATTTTCAGCTTCACAACCCAAATAAAACCCACTGCCCCTGAGTGGGTTCTGACTCAGTGATCCTCAGGGTAGCGGCCTCCTAGGGCTTCCCAGGGCTGAAGCACGTTGCCGGGGAAGAGCCAACCTTTTAGTTTGCAGACAAGCACCTGAACCACTGTACAACCAGGGCTCCTATGCCGCTTTACTAAATGATGTCAAATTATGTTCCAAAGGGATTATTGCATCCATCATACAATTTGCATTCTCAACAACAGTCAACATTACAGCTACTCTCCACCTTTCATCAATGCTTTTACAGTCTGTATGTTACTCTATAAGGAGCCCTGGTCTCTTCGTGGGTTCCAGTTTGACTGCTGATCTCAAGGTTGGCAATTCAGCCCCCCCACCGTTTCTGCGGGATGAGCCTGTCCGCTACTGTAAAGCTGTACCGCCTTGGAAACCCGCAGAAGCAGTCCGACTGGGTCCTATCGGGGCTCTATGGATCAGAATGGACCCAGCTGCAGTGTAAAAGAGTCTCTCGTTGTGGGTGAAAATGTAGTTTGACAAAAAAATAAGTTAATTAATTAAAAAAAAACAAAAATGTAATTTGACTTACATTTCTCCCATCTAAGTACTGACCAGGCGAGACCCTCCTTAGCTTCCGAGATCAAACGAGATCAGGGTGGTATAGCCTTGGGCACATTTCTCTAGTACTAGTAATATTAAGCATCTTGTTATGTTTATTGGCCATTTCAATTTCTTCTTTTGTGAATTGTCTATTCATTTGTCTATTGCCTTATTTTTTTTCCTTCACTGGTTAGTTCTTTATATAGTCTGAGTATTAATCCATTCTTGTTTTGACAAACGTTTTATTGAATATAAATATGTCTTCTCTCTCCAGCTAAATGTTAGATCTGGAGGGAGGGACTGGGGAGGACCTAGAATAATGAACCAGACCAGTAAGGGCTATTTAAGGTTCCTCCTACACCCCTTCTATTTAAAATGGATACTTTGTGGTTTGAAACCAGGAAAGGCAGGCGTCAGGGTTGTATGCTTCCCCCATATTTATTCAATCTGGGGTTTTTCAAATAATCGGAGAGGCTGGGTTATATGCAGGAAAGCGAACGTGGCACCAGGATTTGAAGAAGACTCATTAACAACCTTCACGATGCAGATGACACACCTTGCTTGTTGAAAACAAAGACTAGAAGCACTTATTGATGAAAATCAAAGATTACAGCCTTCAGTATGGATTACACTTCCACATAAAGAAAACAAAAAAGAAGTCCTTGTATCGGACCAGTAAGCAGCATCATAATAAATGGAGAAAAGATTGAAAGTGTCAAGGATTTCATTTGACTTGTATCTGCCATCAACACTCAATGGAAGCAGCACCCAGCAAATCAAGTGATGGATTAGACCACTGAACGAATCTGCCGCATAGACCCCTTCAGAGGCTGACACCCAAAGATGCCTCTTGGAGGACTGAGGCATTTCAATCTCATCTGCATGCAAACGCTAGACAATGAATAAGGACGACTGAGAAGCATGGACACCTTTGCCTTACGGAGTGGGCAAAGGATACTGAAAGTACCTTGGGTTGCAGGAAGAAGGACCCACCTGTCTTGAAAGAGGTACAGCCAGATGCTCCTTAGAAGAGAGAGTGGCGGGCGAGTCTTCAGCTCAAGTACCATGGACAGGCTGTCAGGAGGACCAGGCCCTGGAGAGGACATCGTGTTTAGCAGGGCAGTTCAAAAGAAGTACCTCAACAAGATGGGTTGACACAGGGGGCCGCAGCAATGGCTCCAACGCAGCTCTGATTGGACCAGGCCCTGTATGGTTCTGTGGCTTAGAAGGTCACTATAACCGGGCTGGGCCGGGTGGGCACTAACTGATGGCACCTTATAGTGACCCTCTCTCTCCACTCTTGCTAAGTGCTGATGGGGCGGGCTACTGGATGGGCTGTTGCTTTTTGCTTGCTTGTTTTGTTGTCTGGTTTTGTGTGTGTGTGTGTGTGTGTCTCAACCAGTGAACATGGAGAACGAGTCCTCTGGTTGTGTGTGTGTGTGTGTGTGTGTCAACCGGTGAACCTGGAGAACGAGTCCTCTGG